CATTTTAGGTTTTGGGAGACATACCTAGGAGCAAAAGAGACTTAAAAAAAATTCCTTCCTTTATGAAACTTCTACTAAAAAGGTCTCTGGAAATAGACATATGAGAGAAGACACAAACTTCAAATCAGGTACCAGCCATAAAGCTGGTTGACCCAACAGAATGAGAGCACAAGCCCCAAATTTTAGAAAACGTACGAGCCACTTAAAACACCTACAGTCCATTTGGCTTTAAAATAAAATTAGATGAAAAGACTGGCCTTCCTGTGTCTTTCTTTTACATCTGGTGCAGCTGCTGGAGGCCCTTCTGATATTTGGCTGGGGCCCCACACTTAGAAGCTCTCCTCCCATTGCGGCTTCCTGCCTGCTGGGCTCTGGGCAGCTTTCAGTCTATTTTCAGTTATCAAGGAGAGCAACGGATAATGCACATAAGGGACAAATTACATCCACACATACTTTTAGCATCTAATTTTAGCCACCCCTCTCCCACTCAGTTATTTGTCAAAACTACTTAGGAAGCCCGGATTAACTGATTTGGTTCTGTCTTCTGTTGCTGCCTCTGATAGATTGCAAATGAACCAAGTGAAGACTAAAAGGCAGGCAGCAGGGGGGAGAAAGCCAAGAATGTGAATAATCTGCTTGATGAACACCCAAACTCTCATACAATCTGGAAGATTAACTGTGTGAGGACTCAGTCTTCCATATTGTCTGACCCTCATATCTGGGCTAAAACCTTCTTATTTTGGGCAAATTACCCATAGTTCCTATGTAAAACCAGGAATGAGAGCACCCTTTACTTCCTTTACTTATTATATTAGTATAAATACAATGCAGAGATTCGTATACAATAAAGGACAAATCATAGTACTGAACACTCAGAGCTCAGGTGGCCCTCTCAGCTCCTCAGTCTTCCTTCTATATAGATGAAGCTTGTCATCACGAGCCAACTAGAGGGCAGGGATTTCCAATAAAATGGACAATCCAGATTCTGCAGCATCTCAGCCAGAAGTGGTGACAGTTATTTTAAAATTTTTACACATTCAAGTACTTCTCCATCTTCCCTACAAAGTTAGTGAAAAACTATTCCTGTTGCATGGGTGTGCACAAATGTGTGTGCACACACCCACACACCCACCCTCCATGCTCACACCCACACACCCACACACCCACCCTCCATGCTCCATGCTCACACCCACACACCCACACACCCACCCTCCATGCTCACACACACACACACACACACACACACACACACACACACACAGAGTCTCCCAAAATACATGTAACCAGTTCAGTGGAGGCTGACAATGCATCAGAGTCTGTTTTTGTTTTTTCATTGATTTCAGAGAGGAAGGGAGAGGGAGAGATAGAAACACCATCAGTGATGAGAGAGCCTCCTGCACACCCCACACCAGGGATGGATCCCATAACCCGGCCTGTGCCCTAACCGGGAATCCAACCATGACCTCCTGGTTTATAGGTCAATGCTCAACCACTGAGCCACACCCAAGGGGCAACCAGAGCCTGTGTGAAGACAGATCTGACTATTTTTCCCACCCTTTCAGGATGGTGTAGCTCTCTGCCCAAGAAATAGGCTTCTTTCTTGATAAACTACTCCTGCTCTAAGATCTCTATCTTGTGGAGCAATCTCAACCACAGACTTCTCGCTAGTTCTTGGAACTCCAGGGGATGACAAAGCTTAAATAAGAAAATAATGGCTCGCCCCAGCTGGTTTGGCTCAGTGGATAGAGCGTTGGCCTGTGGACTGAAGGGTCCAGGGTTTGATTCCCGGGCAGAGCACATGCCTGGGTTGTGGGCTTGACCCCCAATGGGGGTGTGCAGGAGGCAGCCGATCAATGATTCTCTCTCATCGTTGATGTTTCTCTCTCTCTCTCTCCCCTCTCCCTTCTTCTCTGAAATCAATAAAATATATTTTTAAAAGAAAAGAAAAGAATGGCTCAACCAGCGTGGCTCAGCAGTTGAGCGTCGACCTATGAATGAGGAGGTCAGGGTTTGATTCCAGGTCAGGGCATATGCCCTGGTTGCAGGCTCGAGTCCCAGTGGGGGGCATGCAGGAGGTAGCTGATCAATGATTCCCTCTCATCATTGATGTGTCTCTCTCTTCTTCTTCCTTCTTCTCTGAAATCAATAAAAAGATTTTTTAAAAGAAAATAATGATTTAAGATAGGAGGCAGGGCAGGATTTCAGAAGCAGTAACTAATTGGGAGTTTTAATACAAGTAACAAGTTTTGTTTTTCACCTCAAAGATTGGAGAGTGGCTGGCCACTGGATGAGTTCTGCAAGTTAGGATTTTCAATCCAAGTTCTTGAGACTTTCATCGGAATGCCTTTACAAACAGTTGCCTGCCCTGATCTTCACTCTGGCTGCGACTGCCTTCCTACCCTCCCATCTACTTTTAGATGGAGACAGTCAGGCATACCTTTTCCCTAATGATATCTTGAAGACAAGGTGAATACATGCAGACAAATAGCTAAGCAAATATTGACTTATATTCATCATGGATCTGTAGGCTGCCCCTACCAGTCCCAGGGAGAGGACGGAGGTGGAACATCCCTGGGCAAGTCAGTTCTCTGTGCCAGATGCCCTTTCCCTTCTCAGAAGGCTCCCTGGAATGTCGAGGACTACTTGGTCCAGGCATTACATCCAATGCAATGACCTTCCAATTAGACTACATGTTAACAATAATACATGTCAGGGACTACGGATCCTGCACAGGGTGGCCCAGTGGGTTGGGAATCAGGACCTGAATGCCTGTTTCCTTGCTGATCTTGGGCTAGCTCTAATGACAATAGGTCCAGTGCAGTCTTGTGTTTTTTTTTAACTGTCAGGTTTTATTTTTTTTAATCTTTATTGTTGAAAGTATGACATATGTCCCCTTTTTCCCCCCACCCACCCCCTCCAGCCCACCCCCGCCCCCGCCCAAGCCCTCTCCACCCCACTGTCTGCGTCCATGGGTTATGCATATATGCATACAGGTAGTGTAGTCTTTGGACCATCAGCGTGTTATCTCAGGTCCTTGTTAAAGGTGCAGACACCACCCCAGAGCAACTGAATAAAAATTTCTGGTGTTGGAGACCTAGGACTCTGGATTTTTAGAGCATCCTAAGGTTTGGGACCTACTCAAGATTTGGAGCTCCTTATCTGAAACCCAGGAGCTAGAGATCTGACTGTCATGTTCCCTTCCTGCTCTAACATTCAGTGGTTCTGGGTAGAAGCTCATTTTTTTTAGGTTGGTCCCTATATTCTCCAGCCACATTCTTATGTCATTACTGGTCACTTAGCAGACAACTGCCAATTCACCAGGATTTAACAAGCATGTGACAGTAACTATAACTTCTTCCCAACCTATTTATTTGTTTTGTTATTGTTTGTGTGTTTGTTTGTTTAAATCCTCACCCGAGGATATTTTTCCATTGATTTTCATAGAGAGTGGAAGAAAGAGGGAAAGACAGAGAGAAATATTGATGTGAATGATACACATCCATTGGTTGGCTCCTGCATGTGCCCCAACCAGGGCCCAGGACAGGGAGGAGCCTGCAACCAAGATACGTGCCCTTGACCAGAATCAAACCCAGGACCCTTTGGTCCACAGGCCGATGCTCTATCCACTGAGCCAAACCAACTAGGGCTTCCCAACCTATTTTAAAAATCAAGTATTTCCTAACCCTGGTGGTCAGTGGATGCAACAGCAGTCACATTGGTATTTGAACACATGATTTGCTCTCCACAACAGAAAGAAACATTAACAATTTACTCCATTCTCTTGCCATAGGAAGACCTCAACACAATAAGATGGCCCATCTCCCTTAATGAGCATAGAAGTCACATTTTAGGATAGTGGACAAGTCACTCTCAACGAATTTCCTGTAGTTTCTAAGGATGAGTTGGATTTCAGCTCTTAAACACTTTGAGCACCCGGTATATGGTGACTCTCCATGCTCTCCACGTGGTGTGGCAAATAGCAATAATGCCAGCCAGTGTTTCAAAACCCGCCTTATCACTGCTGATCTGTGTGGCCAGTTAGTTTATTTAGTTAAATGCCAACTAATGAAGCCAAGGACATGGATTTGGTCTTTTGTAGGCCAACTGACTTCAATCACTTTCTTTCGTGTACTCGTCTTGAAAATGTTGACCACGGGAGTCTGTGTCACAGTGTGAAAACCAGTTACTGGTAAAATAACCTACATCTCATAGTCTTTGGTGTCAAGTCAGAAGGTTCCCCTTTAGATACTAAAGATACAAGTAGTAGATATAGCCATGGATACTCTCAGGCAGATATCTTTAAGATTGTTTTGCAGTATTATTATAACTCAAGTTAAAATTCCTTAATTCCATTATTTTCCAGGAAATACATTCTTCTAGAATAAAACAGGTGTCTTTATGTGGCTACTGGCTCACCTGAAGCCTGGTCACCTAGTGCAGCCTGGGTCAATGTCTCTCCTAGTAATTCCTTCCTCCTTTTTAGGACATAACAGCTCCCTTCCTGGACCCCTGAGCTCTGCCTTACTCTCTCTCCTGGCCCCAGCCACTGGAGTCCAAAACTGGAGTTGACAATACACAGAATCCTGCAGAGAGCATCCCCACTGCCTGTGCTTTCCCAGCGACCCAGCGAACAAACCAGGTTAACTTGGTAGGCTGTAAATGGAGGGAGAAGGGAAAGGGGAAGTAAATGTGAGGTTTAAACTTAAATCTCTGAATCCTTTTGCTGATAATAGTAATATGAATAGCTACCACTTATTGTTTTAAACTTTGTGTTAGTCCTTGGGAACAGCACTTAGATGCATGACCTTATTTAATTCTGATAACGTTCTCCTGTCCTTGTCTCTGATCACCACACTAGAACTCTAAAAAGTTTCCATTTCCTTACCCTCTTCCATATGTGCACCATGCAGTAGGGTTCTAAGGATTGGGTCAAAAATAAGAGGAGACTCATGAAAGATAATCGTGTGTCCAAATAAGGAAAGGGAGGAAAACTTCAATGAAGGGTATTTAATGTCAGAGAGAAACTGTACATCTGGGGCAGAGATGAAGAGACCATGCCAGGCCAGCGAGCCTGACCTAGCTACGCATCCTGTCGCTCATGAGGCCTCCGCTGTTGGAGGACTTGACAGCAGCAGCATCACAAGGTTCCTCTCCCTGGTGGGAGCACAGTGCAATGTTCACTCAGTACGGTTACGCACCCGGCTTTGTGCAGCTCAGGCACAAACATTCAGTCCATGTCCATGTCTTTCCTAACACGTCAGGCCAAAGGGCCCCTTTCCTCCTGGTGCAGGGAGCTTGTGGCAGGAGCTAGTGAACTGTGAGGAAGAGTCATTCTCACTGGAAAGAGGCCCAGGGAGGTGCGGGCCCCTTTGCAGTCCTGGGTCAGAGATGGCATCGGACGGCTCCTCGCTTTTGCAGGTCTGCACACAATGGAAAGGTAGGAAAGCAGTGGCCCTCTCACAGAACCCGTCAATATTCTGGGCAAGACCCTGCAGACTTCAAAGACTACGCTGAGCTCCTGCCGCCTCCCACAGGGCCTCTAGGCACACAGGCTGGAGTCACAGGGCAGTCATGTACCCAACAGAGACTCCAGACTTCCAGACGAAGTCATCTTCTCCTTCTACCCACCACCTCTCTCCTCAAGGCCATGGTGGATAGGCAGCAAATATTCCCAAGTCCCTACATCCTGAGAGTCCCCCCTGGAGGGAGGGAAAAAGCCCTTTGTCCCACCCACTGGGAGCTGAGAACCTGCAAAGTCCAATCCTCAAAGACCTCTAGCATCTCTTAAATAAGCTTTTCCTTTCCATTTTCATCTTTTAATTATCATTCATCCATTCATTTATACAAATATAAAATATATTTATATAGATTTATATATATAATCTTCTGTGAGGCAGAGTGGAGAGGAGGCCAGGACGTGGTCCCGGCTATTTGCAGACGTGCTGGTCGACGACCTCCGTGCACTTCCTGCACTTGACGAAGCAGCACCAGTGGAACTTGCAGTGGCAGCGCTCCACCTGGACGCTCTTAAACTGGTCGTAGCCGCGGCCGCAGCACATGAGCTCGCAGCCATCCATGCCCTCCGAGGTCTTGTTGCAGAGGCGGCCCTGGGTGCCCAGGGAGCCCGTGGTCTCGTTGCGCAGGCAGTAGTCAGGGCTGGGGTCCACATACACCAGGTCCTCCGGGGTGGGCTGGTTGAAGCGGCTGTTGACCAGCTCCAGCTTGCCTTTGCGGGTGATGCGCATGGCAGCGGCGCTGTCGTACTTCTCCTTCAGCTGGTCCCCCACCTTGCGGAACTCAGCCAGCTGGAGCCAGCAGGTCTTGAGGCTGCAGGACCCAGAGACGCCATGGCATTTGCAGGCTACATCTGCCATCTTATACACAGCCTGGGGGGAGGAGAAAGAAGGAAATAAGGAGAGTCCCTGATGGCAGATGTCAAGAGGGTGGCTAGCGTGGCCATAGGCCAAGTATAGAAGAGGGCAGATGGGGGGGAGGGGGAGTAGGAGTAGTCTTTCAATGTAAACAAAGATCTTTCCAGGACCCTAAATTGCTCAGATTGACAGCAAATAAAGGGGCACTATGAAGAAACATGCCGGTGAGCATGCGGCTGTCTGACCCGTGACAGGGGTAGCATGGGGCGCTTGCTACTTTATCCATTTTTTATTACTTAAAATTTGTCACAATAAATGTGTCAGGAAAAAAAGAGATATTTCTATCTTGATCTCAAAGAAACAAGTAAAAACCAACAAAATGTGTCCAGCTTTCATATGATGTGGAGCACCAGTGAGAAAACAGAATCCAGCCAAATTACAAACCGGTAACAGGAACTGCTGGCAGGCCCTGGCTAGCCAGAGCTTTCCCAATCCTGCCACAGCTCCCAAGAATTCAACAGTCACTAACTCCACAGAGTCATCAGGAGCCTCACCATAGGCCACATCATATCCGATACCCCTGGGAGAGGCAGTGACAGTGGAGGGAAAAGGGTGAGGCCGGTGCAGTGGGAGAGCAGGTCAGCAGAGGTCCATCTACAGGGGTGATTCATTTGAAATCAGATCCACCCTGGAAGTCACTGAACCACAACAAGGTGGAGCGGAGTTGCACTTGGGCTATCCCAAATCAAAATGTAAAAGCAAAAGTAGACCAGAAAGCTGCTTACGAAGTGCTTCCCATGAAACCATACTGATGCACTGTGTTAAACCACCCTGGCAGCAGGCCCAGATTGCAGATGGCAGGATGAAAATGCAAGCCCACTGCAGAACATTTTCTTATGCCACAGTTATTGTCACCAACTAAGTAAGGGCTCATTTTTCCTCAGGTTTCTTTTCAAGAGGCCCCAGGTTATGTCTTTATTCAGTACTATGCAGGGACCATTGCAGGTACAAGGAACAACTAACCCATCAACATATTACTATTGTCCAAACTCTTCCTGATCTTTTTTTCTGGTATGGAATTATTCCCACTATTTTATAATGGAAAAATTGAAGTTCTAGAAATCCTCGGTAACCTGTTCAGGGCCACCCAGAAGGGACTCATAATGTCTAGCACTCTGCTCTCCAGTCTTGGGGCTTAAAAACAGCTTAGGGTGAGAAGGAAGGAAGGCTCCTCTCCAAGGTTTAAGGCAGCCACTTGGCTGGCAGCTCCAGGCCCAGGGCATAAAGGAACCAATACCCCATTCCAACAGGCACTTCAAAGACAGGGCCTGCAATTATCCTTCTGGCACAAATCCCCATGTCTGAGCTGGAGGCTGACATTCCTCTGGAAATGGTCCTTAGACAGGGATGTCAGGCATCTGGCACTGCTGGGAGGAAGCATTAAGGGCCTAAAACTGTGTACCTTGCTGCTAAGTGACTAAGGAAACAGGATAAGCATCTGCACTGGGAACAAACACTTAGGGAGATTTGGGGGAAAAGAGTCAAAGCAAGACCTTAAAGAGTAAGGATAGGAATTTTAGTAAAACAAATTCACGAGAAAGAATGTCACTGATCCTAACTATTTAGACATTCATTCCATCCTTCCTCTAGAAAGAAAGACATTGTAGAGACATAGTATTTGTATTTTAAAATATTTTACTATTGATAACATATAAGTTCCTCTTGTAGGAGAATGGCGGCGGGTGAGGGGGTGGAATCCCAATTTTTGCCCCCCCCCCCAACTGAAAGAGCAATAAAATGTTTTAAAAAATGTTTTTAGTTCTATATCTTGCCCCTGGCAAAGCCCTCTTTAAATCCTTCTTCACTTCTACCCGACTGAGCATGGTAAAGACAGGAATGTCACAAAGATTAGGCAGCTTTTATCTGGAAAATGCTTGGAAGCCCTTGAGTAACAAGGCAGTATCAACCCACAGCTCTTGCTATCAATGTCTGAAATGGAGTTACTAGAGAATCTTAAAGGGCAAGAGACATTTCTTGCAAATATTCCCAAGATTTACTTGGGGGTCAAGATGTCAAATCCTAGATATTCTGTGTTTGTTTGTTTGTTTGTTTGTTTTTTAAATCTGGTTGAAAAGCCCTGGCTGGTGTGGCCGGTGAGTGTTGGTCCACTCACCAAAGGGTTACAGGTTCGATTCCTGATTACAGGCATGTACGGGGTTGCGGGCTCCCCACATGTGGGATTCAATCAGCCAATGTGTCTCTCTCACATTGATGTTTTCTCTCTTTCCCTCTCTCTCCCTCCTTCCCTCCCTTTCACTCTTTCTGAAAAGCAATGGAAAAAATATACTCAGGTGAGGATTAACAACAACAACAACAACAAAACTCTGGTTGTAAAATACTTGTTCAGGGAATTTTCCATCCCTGCCACCATTTAATCCTTCCTGTGGAACTTATTTGGAACTTTTTTTGTTGTTAATCCTTATCAGAGGATATTTTTTCCATTGATTTTTAAAATATATATATATTTTATTGATTTCAGAGAGGAAGGGAGAGGGAGAGCGATAGAAACATCAATGGTGATAGAGAATCATTCATCAGCTGCCTCCTGCACACCCCCTACTGGGGATCGAGCCCGAAACCTGGGCATGTGCCCAGAATCAAACCCAGGACCTTTCAGTCTACAAGCTGACACTCTATCCACTGAGCCAAACCAGCTAGGGCCATTGATTTTTAGAGAGAGTAGAAGGGAGAAACAGAGAGAGAAAGAGAGAAACATTGATGTGAAAGAGACACATCAATTGGTTGTCTCCTGCATGTGGGGTGCCAGAATCAAACCTGGGCTCTTTGGTGCTCTGGCCAATCCTGTAACCACTGAGGCACACTGGCCAGGCCTTTGGAACTTTTTTTGTAGGTGTGAGGAGGTGGAAGGTGAATAACTTTCGCCTCAGATGATGATTAATGGCTGAGGCCTATTCCTTGAGAAAAGGGTAAAAAAAGGACAAGAATTCCCAACCTGGGGGATCCAAGATGGTGGCAGAGTAGGTAGATGTCACATTCACCTCCTCCCAGGACCAAACTGGAATTACAACAAGAATATAGAGCAAGAAACCTGAGTCACCAACTGAAGACAAGCTGAAGAGAAGTCTTATAACAAGGATTACAGTAGAGGCCACAGTGAGACTGGTAGAAAGGGCAGAGGTGTGAAAAGGGCTGGCCCCCCTTCACGGGCAGTGGCTGAGATTTGAGAGGGATATCTAAGCTTTGGGGGGTTCCCCTGAGAAGCATGAGGTTTCAGTCCCAAGCCACGCTCCCCAGCCCAGCGCACTGGACTGGGAAGAGGTGCCCATATCACACTGACTGTGAAAATCAGTGGGGATTCTATCTGCCAGGGAGAGATGGGAGTCTGCTAATACACAGGCACCCTCTTAAAGGGCCAAAGCACCAAGTCTCATTGACAGCCACTTACCCTGGGCTCCAGCGGAGGGAGGGTGGAGCAGACTAGAGTTGTGTGAGGAGAGACTGGGATTTGTGGCTCTGGGGAGGGAGCTAAAGGGACAGGATTCCTGTGCTAAGTCCCCCTCCGGCACTATAGACTCCATCTTTCTTGGATGGAGCATTCCCCTCGATACAACATCAGCCTAGGGAAAAGCAACAGCTCCACCCTTTGGACTCCCTCTCACCCTACCCTGGGGAGCTTGTGCCATGCTGAGGAGTCAGCTGCCTGAGCTGGGGTGTAGAGGTCAAGCAGACTCAGGGGGCATCAATGACTTAGTTCTATGGCTTTGGGGGGGGGCCATTCCCACCACTTTCCCATGAACCTGACTGGTGCCCCCCTCATGGGAGAACCCTCCAGACTCCTGGTGGCTCCACTCTGCCAAGATCTGGGTAGAATCCAGGACTGACTGAGTTGTGTAACTCTGGGTCAGGAGGCCACTCCCCCCACCTACTCCCAAGCCTGACTGGCACCTCCCCCTCATGGAGAGCAACTAACCCCACCCTCCTGACTCCCAGGGGCCCCACGAGGCTGATCGGGTTCCTGGCAGAATATGGGACAGACTGAGTTGTGTGGCTCTAGGACAGGGGCCATTTTTCCCTCGCATGTATGACCAGTGCAGAGCTCTCCATTCACGCAGCCAAATTTTGATATGTTTGGGCCTGATAAACTCTGCTGGCCTCATCCTGATGACTCCCTGAGACCCCACCACATAGGTGTGCTGGCACCCAGTAGGTGACAGCTAGACTTGGTATAGCCTGGGGCATTTGCTTAGTGGACTCAGACCCAGCTCTGGCACTGAGTTTGAACCTGTAATATCTGGTGAACACCACTTGCCCCTACTTGGTGACTCATTGAGAACCTACCTCATGGAACTCAAGTACCGCCAGAGGCTCTTTCAGGACTGAGATTAACAGGCAGCTGGCAGGAATAAGAAGTAGATCTCATGATGCCTTGGGACTTTGCTGACCTGCCCCCAGCCCAGTGCTTATAAAAGCTGGACGTGGTGGGCAGCTTGGTCCTTCCCACAAACACACAGGCTAAGCAGAGGTAGCTACAAACTATGGGTTGCTTGGTGACTTCAAACAGGTTGCTCAGGACCAGTCACAGGCAGTGTCTGACATTGGCCTGCACCAGAGTCCCTCCCAAGAGGCCCCAGAACCAACACACCCAGTGGCCAGCTTCAGACAACATCAGAGCAGGAACCAATTAGCTTCACAAGTGGCATATCCAAAGGGAGATCTCAGCAAGCGCCAGGCCCTGCTGAGGTGAATTCTGCTCCATGTGGTCAGCACCTGCACAGCAGCTTGTACACTGTGTTTGGGGTTGATCCTTACAGTCAGCTAGCCTGAGGGTCTACCCCATGCATGAATAGGCTGATAGCAATCAAGAATCAATTAAAACAGGAGGTCCACATAACCCATTCAAGGGACATTCCTAGGACACTCAGTGCAGATAATCAAGGTGACTATATCACTGGGTCCCACAAAACTCTTATTACATAAGGCCACCCTACCAAGACTGGAAATCATAGCAGTAATAATTTCTATGTAACTAATACATAGAAACAAACACAAACAGGCAGCCAAACTGGGGAGATAAAAAAAAATGCCACAAATGAAAGCACAGAAAAAATCTTCAGCAAAAGACCTTAAAGAAATGGAAGCAAGCAATTTATCAGAAATAGAGTTCAAAAATAATTGTTATAAGGAAGCTCAAAGAATTTAGTGAGAACTACTACAGCATGAGAAAGGACATAGAAACAATAAAAAAGAACCAGTCAAAAATGAAGAATACACTTGAAGGAATAAACAGTAGGTTGGGTGAAGCAGAGGATCAAGTCAGTGATTTGGAAGACAAGGTAAATATAAACAACAATACCCAGTCAGAGGAGTGAAAAGAAAAAAGAACTTTAATAAATGAGGATAGTTTAAGGGACTTGGGGGACAACATGAAGTGTAACAACATCTGCATCACAGGGGTATGAGAAGAAGTGAGAGAGCAAGGGATCAAGAACATACTGATCAAGAACTTCCCTAACCTGGTGAAGGAAAATTACACACAAGTCCCAGAAGC